AAGACTGCAATACCAGAAAATTGTTTTTTATGTATTTCCATGTCTTCTACTCGGATCAGCTGGTGAGGAACTTTTTGCTTTGGACAGCTTTAGCCTCAATCTTTTAGTCTAATGTAATGTAGGAATCCAGCTAGGGTATATTTAGGACTCCTTTACAGAGTTCTCTTTTTTCAAAAGACTCTGCTGGAAACATTAAAACGTCAGCTGGAGTAAGTGTTTTCAACCGACTCATGAAGCTAAGATGAGTTTAATTAGCCAGCCAGCCGCAGCTGGCAAACTCTATGTGAAGCTGCTCCAATTGTTTCAAAGATTACGAGATACTTTGAGTGGTAAATTAAACTCCGTCATTTGTGTGGTGTGCAAGAATGGATAACTTGACGTGCATACCATTAGATTAAAATTCCTTTGTTGTCTTTGCATCAAGTACAATGAAAGCGGGTGCAATCCTAAAAGCTCGACCTAAAATTAAATTAAGGTTCTAAATGTACGAATAAATAATACAATTTGTGTAAATTAGTGAATCTGAAAAACAATAGATATGAAACAATACAGCTCCATAACTTATTGTTAGCATCTGAGATATTACTCTCCAGGATATTTCACACACACAGTACATAGTTGAAATGTAAACATGTTCTATGAAGTAACTTCCAAGTATTATAGTGCTGATAGTCACACAGTACCCAAACAGTCAGTGTCAATGTTTAGTTCTCGTCTGGACGGTAACTAAGAAGCACAAAGGCTTAGTGAACGGCCAGCTGGAAAATGTACAGTGGAACATGGTTAGTAATCAGCACAGAGAGCTCAAACATCAGCCTCCATACTGTCACTGTTTATGTGCCCATGCTGTGTGTCAAGCTGACTGTGTCTGTCTCTTATTTTCTGCTTGCAGCTAAAGACGCAGCGGCAGCAGCAGCTAGAGGAGTAAGCTCCCTCTCACTGAAATGATGAAGTCTTTATCAGAGGCATTTTCACATGTTCATGGACTGGCGCAATATATATATATTTGACTGAGGAGGAGCCATGCTGTTGACATTACTGTAAAATATGACCATTTGTAAAATGATTGAGGAGACACCAGTGGAGAGAGGGGTTGTGAATATTTTGGCATGGAGTAATGGCCTCCTTGTTCCCTCCAGGAAGTAAAGCTACAATTGAGAATACATCGGCCTTCATGTACATTCAGAATGAACCTCTTCTAACCTATGATCTTGTACATGTACAATAATGGTATACTTATCATTGTACAATTGCAACTTTGCTAACAGAGCTTTGCCACTATGTTTTTTTTGGGGATCTTACATTGTATATAACTGATTCATGAAAATACTTCAGATTAATATGATGAAACCAGTTAAATGTGCCCATTTCTTTATTAACTTTATTTCCCTGTGACAAAACTGTCACCACTGGTTTAGAGCAGGATTTACTGGCCTCAGGTGCAGGAGTCCCTGTTGGGTCTGCTGATATGAAAATGAGATGAGTCAATAAAGCAGATGTTTATTTTGGAAAAGTAGTAGTAGAATCTGGCAGTGCAGAAAAGTCTTTGCAACAGCACTTTCAGAATATACTAAATATAACTGAACAGTTAAATCTGTTAAACGAATGAATAATAAAATGGCCCTGACATTAGTTTCAGATCAAGAACAACTAAGAGGTCAAAGATGTTAATATGACGATGACGAATGTATTAAGTGGTACATGACGCAGAAGTGAGTTTGATTTTTTTTTGCCAGACAGGATTAAAGGCTGGGTTTTAGTCTCGGAGCCAGTGTGTATAAAGCTGCTCAGAGTAAAGTGTCAGTGTTAAGTTCATCGAAATTAAGTCAGTAGGCAGCAGCTACACAGTCTCTATATTTTGAAAATGCCTGATACAGAAGGTGTGTCCCAATAACCACAGTCCCTGTACAACACACAAGTTCATGACTTTGATGGATTCAGTATTGATACAATCAAATGTTCACATTAACCACGTCTGTTTCAATAAGGAAATGTGCACTATGTATGACATCGGCTGAGCTGTGAAGGATGCAGGTGAGTTTGAATGCCAATAAAACATAAAAATGACAAATCTGAATATATAAACTTGCAAGTAAACATTTTTATGGAAAGGTTTTCGACCCCTGAGTTCTGTTTTAGAAAAATAAATCAATAAACATATTGTTATTTTACATGGAAACATTTATTAGAACCTCCAGAGATTCTTCTCACTTGAAAGGGTTACTATATGCTAAATATTTGTGTGAACATCTCAAATGGCATATAGTTATTTCCTAGTCCTAATGACAATCCTACTTTGTGCTAAGACCGATTTGACTCCTAAATCAAAATTAAGGACCACTGTAATTTTTATCTGCACCGGTGTTTCACCAAATTCTGTAACCCATCAAATGATGTTACCTGATTAGGAATTTCATATCACTGCAAATGGATTTATCATGCTTTCAGAGGGTGGCGGTAATGCACTGAATATGCTGGATTAAAAACTCAAAAAGAAGAAGAAGAAGTGAGTGGATTGGTGGAAAGTTTGGCGGACTTTATCCTCCACGGAGAAGCAGTTTTTTGTTGAAGCCCCATGGTCTGACTTCAGTTCAGCTTTAGTTACAAGTGACAGCGGCGGGAGTCTGCACCACCGACCGGTGAGTGAACTAACTTCATTAATGACTCATGGGCTCAGTGAAATGCAGACACAACGGACGCAGATGTTTGTGTTGTGTGTTGGCATAGAGAAGTAATTTTCAACAAGAACATGTTATTTGGCACCATTTGTCGATTTGTCCTGTTATAAAGCACCGACATGACATTTAGCAGTTTGCCAGCTGACCCATTAGTCCTGCAAAAAGCAAGTTAGTTGTTACTGTTTGCATGTGGATATTTTATTAACGCTCGTTATATGTTCACAGTCCACCTCACTATAAAGGTTTATCAAACTCTTTCAATCCGTGTTTTCCCCTGTTGCTGCTCTTTCTGTCAGTGGACCCAGAGTCATGTGCTCGGCTAACTTAACTTAGCAGCATAACAGCTGCATGGCTGTCGTGCAGGCTTCTAACTTCGTAGACTCGACAGAGAATAGCCTTACATAAAGATCTGGCACGTGTAAACTAGGACTGAACAAGTCATGGAAATATGATTGAAATCGCATTATGGCCAAGTGCAATATCCAGATCGCAGGAGCTACAATATTTTGGTAAACAGTGTTACATCATAGCATTATAAATGAAGCTTCTGACTGAAGGGAACGTGCTTGTTTGCTTCAGACCCAGAGCAAAAATCACATCTTCATTTTTATATATTTTTTTCAGTGAAAGTAAAATGCTGAAAATGACTATTCCCACTAAAATGGTGCATGTCGTTCAACCCCAGCAGCAAACACATATTAGTAAGCTTTATGAAGTAGTGAATGTGTTGTCTCAGTTATTCAATTACCTGTGTTGTGACAGTTTCTTATCAGTCTGGTTCAAAGTTTAACTCATGAGGCCATAGCTGTAGTTGCACAACACTGCACAGGTGGTGCTGCATGTGTCTGAGGCTTAGGACTGGAATAATGGATCTGTGATAAGGATCTGTATAGCCGAAGCACTCGCTGTACTCTTTCATAACACACCCACAATCCTTTCTTAATGCAGCTTTTTGATAAAAAGATGTTGTCTCTCTTGGATATTGTTTTTATGTTTTTATTTCTGTCTAGTCTCTGAATTATCTCCCCTCTTTGCGTGCCCAGACAAACAGCAACCATGTCCATAACAAATGGCCACACTCTGAGCAAAGAAACGTGGGATTCTCACAACAAGATGATGCTGGAGCCTCTGTCCATCAGCGACTCTGAGGTTTGTGTTCAGTGGATTTTAAAAATAAGTGTTGTGGAGACTGGAGAGATGATTCAGTGGGATCAGCAGTACTAACCACCCTCTCAAAAAATGGCTGAAAGGAGAATTATTTCAAGTTGTTGTTCTCCCCTGAACAATAAAGTATTTGTGTATATTTGTGTTTTAGGTGTTTACCATCATAAAAAAAGAGAAGCACAGGCAGACGTACGGTCTGGAGCTGATAGCGTCTGAGAACTTTGCCAGCCGAGCTGTTCTAGAGGCTCTGGGTTCCTGTATGAACAACAAATACTCTGAGGGATATCCTGGTCAGAGGTACAAGAATCAACCAAGTTTGTCTATGAAATCCAAGTGTTTGATTACATCCTGTTATCAGTGCATTCTGCTTTATCCTATCCATTCAATAGCAAGTAAGTATAGCAGTAATAATCAGTATGATCCGTGTGTTCAGATACTACGGTGGTACGGAGCATGTTGATGAGCTGGAGAGACTCTGTCAGAAAAGGGCGCTGGAGGCATATGGTCTGGACTCAGAGAAATGGGGTGTCAATGTGCAGCCATACTCAGGTACTAAATTGCGAATAACATCTAAAACTCATCTGACTCGTGTCAGTATTTTAACTTTCTGTCTCATCAAACTCTTCTTCTGCATCTCATCTTGTTGTCTCTCGTTTCCTCTCTGACTTGTTATGTTCTTTCCTATTTGTAAGGTTCACCCGCCAACTTTGCTGTCTACACGGCCGTTGTTGAGCCACACGGCAGGATCATGGGACTAGACCTTCCCGACGGAGGTCACCTGACACACGGCTTCATGACTGAGAAGAAGAAAATCTCAGCAACGTCCATCTTCTTTGAGTCCATGCCGTATAAGGTACAGAACAATCTTGTGCATTTGTCCAGACACACTCGCCCAGTGTCAAGGTTTAATAAGATTATTCTTAACACTGAAAGTATGTGCACATCGCTCCTCATGAGAGCTGGGAAAGATAACAAGAAGCCCTTAATTTGATGGAATCAGGGAAGTTAGTACAGTCTGCTACAGTTTGATAAGCAACTAATGTGCAATTACAGTGTCATATTCTGATTGTACAGAGAATAGAAAAGCTGTAGAGTCAAGGATGTGGACAGGAACATTTGACCTTGACACCAGAGACCTGGGTTCAGGCTTTGTCTCAGACTAGGCATTTTAACTGTGGTCCTCTGATGTTTCCTTGCCTGGCTTAAGTTGGGTTAGTTGCCTTAACTGTTTCTTCACTTTTGTTGCCATGTGTGGATAATGTAGGGGGAAAAAAATCTGTTGATTGTGAACATTTTGGAGATGAGTTCAGCATGAACATTCTTCAATATAAACAAATCTGCTAAGTGTATTGGTTAAGAACATTTTGCGGTTCAGTATGAATGTTATGTCTGATGTTTACATTTACTCAATTGGCAGACGCAGATGTAAAACAGATGGCATTATGTTTCTTTAAACAAAGATATATATATATATATATATATATATATATTAACCTTACAAAATTATAATATAAAAATCTGATAGTAGTTCAAAGCACAGTGTATATAAATTGAATCCAGTAAAGACAAGATTTAAATGTGGGAAAAATCTGAAACATAATGGAATAAAAATGCCAAAGTGATTTCAGGTTGTTTCACTCTGATGGGCTTATGGTAAGTACAGTCTGTCCAGTTGTGCTCATGTTCAGTGTGTCAGATGTAGCTGTTCTGGTTTGATACGTGGTCTTCTGTTTTTAGGTGAATCCAGAAACTGGCTACATTGACTATGACAGACTGCAAGAAAACGCTCGGCTGTTCCACCCCAGACTCATCATTGCAGGTCCTTTAGTACACACACACACACACACACACACACACACACACACAAAGTGCATGCTAACTTCTGCCATTACGTCTTTACTTTCACACAATTAATTTCTTTTTTCTTTCTCTTCTCCAGGAGTAAGCTGCTATTCCCGCAACCTTGACTACGCCCGCATGAAGCAGATTGCTAATGAGAACAGTGCGTATCTGATGGCAGACATGGCTCACATCAGTGGATTGGTGGCTGCTGGAGTGGTGCCCTCACCCTTTGAGTGCTGCGACATTGTTTCCACGACAACACACAAGACGCTGCGTGGCTGCCGCGCTGGACTCATCTTCTACAGGAAAGGTAGAACCTGAATATGAAGCCTCTGCCATAACAAACCACTTCCCTTTTTTTTGTTTTGTCATCGAGACTTTTTTCTGTAATGAGACTCTGTGATTTCTCCAGCTTTACATTTTTCCATTTCCCTCTTCCAGGAGTGCGGAGTGTGGATGCCAAGGGGAAGGAGACTCTCTACAACTTGGAGTCTTTGATCAATCAAGCTGTGTTTCCTGGGCTGCAGGGAGGACCACACAACCACGCAATTGCAGGTATACCTCTCATCACGCTTTGTCCTCCCAGTTTTATTTAATTATGCCAGGATCTGTCTGATTTGGGTCATGTTTTCCACTGGCAGGTGTTGCTGTAGCTCTCAAGCAAGCCATGACACCAGAGTTCAAGGCCTACCAGATGCAGGTTCTTGCTAACTGCAAAGCTCTGTCCAGTTCACTTATTGACCACGGCTACAAGATTGTCACGGGTAAGTGACACCCCACAAACGCAAATGGAATTGAAACATATCTCCAGTGTCAGTTTCCATCGTACAGAAGTGAAATGCATTTACCACAGAGAACATGAGCATTTGCTGTAACTATTGTCGGTGAATACTGCAGCTTAAATTGAGTTAGTATGGCGTCTTGCATTGGCAATTTACCTCTGTTGGTACTGTTATGACAAAAAGCACACTCTGATGTATTTGGTGCTTCTGGTCTACAAAGCCCAGGTCAGACGAGTGGCCTGTACTATGAAGGGAGTTCAGCCTACTCAGAGTTAACTCGGGGTTATCAGGCAAACTCAGGGTTGACGACCTCTGACTGCCTACACTGGAGTTAAACGGTACTAGGAAGGTGGATAAGATGTTGTTTAGTTGAGTCCGTGTTAACTTAATTGGAGTTGGTTCGCATTAAAACAGGTGTGTTTGGCCGTGCAGGCAGAGTTTTTTTGCAATGGCGCATGCTTCGTATTTCTCCAGAGGAATGCACGTTGGTAGTGTCAGGAAATTATGAATGTAAAGACAAGTCAACGGCTAAATCTAATATTGTGGCGGACGACATCGCATCGCATTGAGTAAATTTGTAGCCTAATTATCTTCACAGTGGTCTTATTGTAGATCAAATCGCTATAATGTATTTTATGTGTAATATGATGTAAAGGTACAACTGCACATAAGGTCCATTGTAATAGGGAAAAAAAGGAGCCAGCAGAGGGGTAGTCCTAATAATCCGAGAGAAAATTTTATTTAATCTAGCCTACAAGTAAAAAACTTGAATAGCCTATTCACTGACATTATAGTCACACATTTAAGAGAAACTTCACTTTGCAAGGCTGCAACATCACACACACGTCTGCAGTGTATTATGCATGCACTGGAAAGTTATATTAAACTTTGCAATCGGATTTAGCAGTGAGGAAATACTCCTGAGTTTAGCCAACAATCACTATCATGCACCGAAGAGACTTTGCCTTGGATTCGGCATATTCAGAAGAAAACAGAGTGATTTTTGATTTTTTTATGACATTATTTCAGGGAATTTCCGATTTTTATTTTATTATTTTCTTCTTGTAAATTTCACACTTTCATCTAGGATTTTTTTTTTCCTCGGTTATCAGCCCCACCCTGGCTCCCTAATTTTTGGACACGTAAAATAATCTAAATATGTGAAAACACTCAGGAGAATTCAATTATAGACTACAGATGGGCTCCATCTACGAAACTATTGAAAGATTCCTCTTTAAAATCACTGAGGCTGCAGGGCTCGCTCTCTGAATGTAATGCTGTTGTGTTCAGAACTTCATTGCAACCGCAGTGGAACCAATCGGGATGAAATCTAAACATATTTTATGAAGCGGTGTGTATTAATATCCTGCTTCTCATCATTAACCCTGAGTACAGATGTGGTGTGTAGTCCGTGTATACAGGATAACCTCGAGTTAACCACGAACAAAACCTGCTCAGAGCAGTTTAGAGATGCATTTTGATTTTAGGAATATGATTTATTTTATTGACATTTTAGATTTGTTTCCAGTGAGATAATATTGTGTTTATATAGTGACTTTGCTGTTGCTGTTGTAGGAACTTCATTTAGGAATATTTAAAACATTTAATTGTAATCCTGTTCTGAAGTTATATAACTAGTATGCACATTTCAGTATTTGTTTATGTATCGAAAGCCATATCGTCATTGCGAAGTTGAACAATTTTCCTCATCGTGCAGGACTAGGTCAGACTGATCATTTTAGCACTGATTATCAAAAGATGTTATGAGACTTTAAAGTATTTTCCATGTTTCTCATAATTATGAGATAAAGATGTTGGATGGGTTTATTTTATAATTAATTATAATTACAATAACTTTTTTTCTTTCTTCAATGAATACCATCTGCTTCTTTAGCTGTGAAAATACCAACCTCACATTAACTTAAACTTCTCTTCATGTTGTCTCATGAAGAAAATTAAAAAATGTATAATTATGTATAATTAAGAAAAGGGGACTGACATGCTGTTGTAGTGTCTTCTATATTAATACTCTTTTTCTCTACCTGTGTAGGCGGCTCGGACAACCATCTGATCCTGCTGGACCTTCGCAGCAAAGGAACTGATGGAGGACGAGCTGAGAAGGTTTTGGAAGCCTGTGCCATCGCTTGTAATAAGAACACCTGTCCAGGTAGAGTGTGTGTGTGTGTGTTTTACTACTGATAGGGAGTTATTCATGCAGCCTTGTTTGCATACAAGAGTACTGGCAAAGTAGTCCTTTATCTCTCTGAATGATACATGTAAATACCTTTTTTTTCCTACAGAGTGCTTTAATGAGTGCCCAGACTCTTAATGTTTCCATATACATGTGTTTGTGTAGGGGATAAGAGCGCTTTGCGCCCCAGTGGTCTGAGGTTTGGCTCCCCGGCTCTGACCTCCAGAGGCTTGGTGGAAGATGACTTCAGGAAGGTGGCTGAGTTCATTCACAGAGGTAATTTTTTGATTTTTAATTTTTTTTTAAACTGAAATTTCCAAGATAATTCTCTGAGAAATGTGTTTGAACTAAGGTGACCAGACCACTGAAGGGATGCTAAGATATTAGGCCAATGGTGCTTTTAAACATAATCAACCATAAAATCTGTCCTTTGAGTATCAACTGCTCCCCGTGTGCAAATGACTGAAAACCACAAATTAGAATTTAAACAAAATGTTTGTACAGACAAACGAGATATGTAAGGGATAATGTCTGATGAGGTGTCCATTTTCATGAATGAATGGCCTCCTTGGAGTTCTCCTGGTAACACCTGAGGGTTTGACTAATACCTGGAACAATCATTACCATCCCATAAGGTTCTTATGCAATGGCAATGCAAAATACTTCTAGTCTGCTTAGCTCATAGAACCATTTGGCTCAGCTATGAGCCAGAAAGCTAACAAGATTAAAAGTCAGTAACATTGTGTACGGTTGACAAAAATTGAATATAATTTGACAGTATGTTTAACAACAAAAGTAGCTAACTATCCAGCCATTGTCCAATAAATGGACAAAAGCAATATCAAGATTTTCACAAACAAGTGAGAAGCAATGTGTACTCTCTGCTGCAGCCTGAAGTAGTAAGTTGAATATTTAAGTGTGTGTATGTGAGATGATCACTAATGTGATCAGTGAGTTCGGGGGGGGCAGTGCACTTCTTGCAGCTTGTGTTACAGTCGCCATCCTGTGCTGTTCAGAGGTTGACACACTGAAGGACTTAACTCAGTGTTGATATAGTGTGATATCCCCATATAACAGTTTTTTTTCTCCCGTTCCTTGGTAGTAAGTGTTATTTACTCCATTGCTCAAGCCTCAAATGATAGAAAATGGCTATTATTCCCCACAGACTTTGCTTTTGTGACCAGGACAGTGATATTCAGAAAAGTACCTATTTCCAATGAGAAAACGGACAAATTTGTATCTTTTTGTTCAAATAAAAAAAATAATAATACGCAACATACTACACTGTCCTGGACACAAAAGCAAAGTCTGTGAGGAATAATAGCCATTTTCTATCATTTTGAAGCATGAGCAATTAGGAAATTACACTTATCGACTTAACAAAAAATCTGTCACATAGTGTATTCAGATGCAACGCACCTTGTTGGACTAGACAGCAGTATAAAATCCCTGCAAGGTCTCATTCAGAGCATCAGTGTTGTAGTATTCAAAGTAGGAGTTTGTTTTTTTTGCAAGGAAACCTTTTTTTAATTGCCCATTTCATTTGGGGTTTTTTTGTGTTGATCTAATCTTTTTAGCCAGTTATAACTCTTTGTGCCATTTCTTCTCTTCTCAATTTCTTTTTCTTCAGCTGCATCATCAAAGTTGTCATATTCTCCAAATAAGTTAAAAGAAATGTTGAAGTCACTCATTGTTGTAATAAATTGGACTAAACGGAGGCTTTCACTGCATCCCTGTTGCTACGGTTACTGATACTTTTGTTTTTTTACATAAAAACATGGGGAGAAGTCAACTGCAACAAAAACATCCAGTCCCAGTGGTTTTCAAACTTGTACATTTAGCAGTTTGAATCAGTTCACCTTCAGGTTTTGGGCAAAATCAGCGGTGTTTTGTTCTGAACTGCAACAATGAAGCCATGTGAATTTGCTACAGCTCCGAATGACGCCTCTGTTAGCTTCTTCTCCATAGCTCAGGCATCAGGAGGCTTATGGGCGTCGTAGTATTTGGAGCCATCCACCAAACCATAATGATCAAAAAAAACAGAACATGATTTCACATGGATGAAATTGCAATCCTTCTCCTGCAGGTATTGTGCTGACTTTGGAAGTGCAGAGAAGCCTGGATCCCAAGGCCACGCTGAAGGAGTTCATCCACGCTCTGGCCCAGGGAGAGAAGTTCCAGCAGCAGGTAGCAGAAATCAGGGCAGAGGTGGAGGCGTTTGCTGGTCAGTTCCCCATGCCTGGGCTACCTGAGCTGTAGAAGCGATAGTTCAGACACTGATGACTTCTGGACTGATGATTGTAACAAACATGATGCCAATTTTGGTGGTGTGCTGTCTCATGTCTATATTTGTTTGAGTGTTCGCTTGTTAAATCTGTCACTCCTCAAATCAAAAAACTTCCTCATGAGTTCACAGTGGTTCAGTTTCAGCTTGAAACAGAATTGCAGACTTTAATGTCCTCCAGTAATTCAGTGTTGCTACTGTGCCTTTACTGTTTTACAGTAGATGGTTTTGTTTTCCACTGTAGCTTTGGTCTCGAATGTTCACACCACATTTAAGCTTTAATCTTGTCAGAAATCTTTTGTATTAAATGTACAATTCCAAAGTTACTGTACTGCAGGTTGAAACACAAAGCATGACAATTTGTTTCATACTTGAGCACTCTACATCAGACTGTATAAGAAATACAGTTTGATTAGGAAAACAACCACAATTGTTAAATTTAATTAAAGTGACCATAATGAACGAAACAGTTGCTGTGTATGATCATTCAGTTTGACTGCAAACTGGTGCAGAGTCCTTTTAAATAAACATGCTCGCAATGACGACGCTATGCTGACGTCAAGCAGGTATAATGTTTACTATGTTCGTTAGTTTAGTGTGGTAGCATGCTAACATTTGCTAAATGGCGCTAAACACAAAGTACAGCTGATTGAAAAGCCATTGGTTGTGCATTTATTGGGTGAATGAAGGTTTTGACCCGAGTGTGTTGCTAGAGAAAAAGGGATCACTTAAGTGATTATAATTCATCCTGAGGGGGACAGGAATGTCTGAACTAATTTTTTTAACAAAAATTTCAACTCACTCAAAACCACAAATGTTAAGCTCATGGTGGCACTAGAAGAACAGTTGGAGAGTCATCAAAGTCAGTAGGATTCATCGTCTAGTGACTGAATGTCTTTACTTACTTTAACTTTAAAGGAAATTAATCCAAGTGCAGGAATCCTGGACGTGACATTCTCTACTCAAATCAGATGCTGCAGGACATAAATCAATAGCATCTGTCCATCTTTTGTTCTCATCTTTTGACTCAGACTGACCACCAGGGTCAACTGATTAACACCTGTAGAGTTGTGTATGGTAAACACTATATGGGGCAGCGACCTCTTTCAGAACTGTTCTAAGTTTTAAGCACACTCAAAAGAAATTCTAGTAAAATCATTAAAACCGTTGAATGGCTTCCTGGCCCAAAACATTAGGCTACTTCAAGCGGTAGCAGAGATCAAATCCCAAGCTGAAGCTGAGTTTTTATGTAGGCCTACTGGATGTTGTGTTTAGCACGCAAAACCCAAAGTATTTACACACATATGTCATTCCAAGGTCAAAATAACTATTACATCCAAGTTTATGGTTGAGAGTATGAAAGGTATTCAACATTATGTCATGAAGGTATCAAGTTATGCTAAATTTAGAGCAAAATATAAATTCAGGGGCATAAAAACCTATATAAATTATTTGTTTGAGAACACTGAATTATTTATTAGTTATATTATAACTAAATGTGTTATTTGTTTTTTCTCCACACCTCCCAGGCTTTATACATTTCTTCTTCTATGTAACAAATTATTTCTTTACCAGTTTGATCCTGACAGGATGCAAAAGGCTGATTTGGACCTACATGTAGAAAATGAAACTGAATATTTAAGTGTGAAAAACGGAAAAATATATAGATGAAGAATATAAAAAATGGACTGCGATGGACTGGCGACCTGTCCAGGGTGTACCCCGCCTTTCGCCCGATGTCTGCTGGGATTGGCTGCAGCCCCCCGCGACCCTGTACGCAGGATAAGCGGTTGATGATGGATGGATAAAAATGTAAATAATCGGATATGAGTGAAGTTGTCATGAGGGGGTGAAGGGTGTGTTTGGGAAACTTTGGCTCAAGAAGTCAGTATTTCTAAAATTAACTAACTAACTTCACCCCGGTAGTTACTTATACGTCTGTTATTACATTCCTTGGTTACAATGCTAATTTCTCAAAAAAAAATACCCATACAGAAATAGCTTTAAACCAGCTAAAAGCCCACTATCCTGTGGCGTGAACTAACCCAGCCTCTCGAGGATCGTCTAGTCTTGCCTTAATGCGTGAGGTCAGAGGTCAGTCTGCGCGCCTCGCATCGATCCACTGTGAGAACAAGGAGCAGCAGTTCGTGACAAATTAAAAACTACAGACCGACCAGTGTTCATGGCTTTTCCTTAAAACAGTCCCAGCACGCTACAGAGAACTGCAGTTATTGTGGTTTCTCATCGGGGAGCTCGCAATTTGTTAGCTTATCGGTTAGCATAACTTAGCTAGCCTCGTTAGCTGGCTAACGAAGAAAACACTAGCGCAACTTCAAGCTAGCTAACGGAAACTGACATTTCTTCGATCGGTGCAGTAAGTTACAGACGACCGCAGCCATGCAGGACTTACTGGCTACCGTGGATCACATCAAGTTTGACCTGGAACTCGCTGTGCAGCAGCAGCTAGGAGCACAGCCTCTGCCCTTCCCCGGCATGGACAGTAAGTGTTAGCTGCTACTTAGCCGCTGTAGGTAAACTGTGATCAGAGTGAACGGTAAAACTGACGGTAACGTTAGCTAACGGCAGGTTGGCACTGTGCATGTTAGCTTTGTGTACCTTTCTTTATTAAGGTTGTGTTATTGTGTCCCTGCAGAGTCCGGATCAGCTGTGTGTGAGTTCTTCATGAGAGCAGCTTGTGTGAAAGGTAAAAACACAGTAACACTTAAGCACCTGTGGAAATAAATAAAGCAGGCTGAAATAAGCAGAATGAGACATTGCTTTTTAAAAGAGTATTTCACAAACGGTAGAGGGACAGTTTTCCTTTTATTCTGTAGTATGAGTCGAGTGAGTCGAATTTTTTTTAATTAGACACATCTCAGCTCACCAGCCTTTTTTCAAGCAAGTAGATCTTCTTATATTAAATCAGAAGCTAGGATATACCTTTCACAAATACAATAAATTAAAGCCTACAGTGGGGATAGGTGATCACTACAACTCACATTTTAGAATGGATCTCAGGAAACAGGTCAGTAATAGTATTTTACATGTGTTTGGGGGGCACACTGTTGTGCGAGGCATGAGTGGTTTTCCTTTCAACAGGATGACAAACTAAAAGGTGTGTTTTACCTTGATAGTGTGTTGGATGGGTGCTGGTTCTTACAATCACACTTTATTTGTACAGCATCAAAGATGGTGCCCCAAGCGCTTTACAAAACAGGGTTAAAAACAATGTTAAAATGAAAATAATAAATACTGGTACAGACACGGTCTGCCCAGCGGGTTTGCATTAGGAAATTTGTGCCGTCGTCTGTGTTGAATCTCATTTTGTTTCCACTCCCAGGTGGGATGTGTCCGTTCCGTCACATCAGTGGAGAGAAGACGGTGGTGTGTAAGCACTGGCTCAGAGGACTGTGTAAGAAGGGAGACCAGTGCGAGTTTCTCCATGAATACGACATGACCAAGATGCCAGAATGCTACTTCTACTCCAAGTTCGGTTCGTTGGCTCAGTGTTTCATAAAATCACTCAGATGAGCTCGATGACTGTATTTTCCTTGTGACTGTTGTTCAGCACCCAGTGTTTTTCTTCCTCCTGGTCAGCTGTTAAGTGAAAGCTCTGTGGTGCTGGTTGATGTTGTGTGTTTTAAATGTTGTGTGTTGACCCTCGCAGGTGAGTGTAGCAACAAGGAATGTCCATTCCTGCACATTGATCCAGAGTCCAAGATCAAAGACTGTCCCTGGTATGACCGAGGCTTCTGCAAACACGGTAGGTCCTGCTCAGCGGTGGACATAAACACTCCAGCAGTAATGATATTAACACCCGACAAACTTACTGTTTATACACACAGTCTCCACTGCTGGTTTGATTTTCTTCATCAGCAGCAAAACAACCTCTTTACTTTCTGTTGTGGCTCTTCTTCCATCTTCCTGTCTCAGGTCCTGACTGCAGACACAGACACACAAGACGAGTGATCTGTGTGAATTACCTTGTGGGCTTCTGTCCAGAAGGGAAGTCCTGTAAATTCATGCAGTATGTTACCCTTTTTATTTGATTCATAACAGATTCAGTTTTGGTGTGAGATATTACAGGTTTTGTCATTTTCGATTTTTTTTCTCTCTCTGTCTTATTTATGGGATGATTTATGCCATCTAGTAAAATATTCTTCAGACAAAAATATTAAAGCAGCAATAGAATAAAGAAAATTGGAGACTTCACCTTTCAGTTATGTAGATTTTAACATCTACTTCTTCTACAGTCCTCGTTTTGAATTACCTATGGGAGCTTCTGAACAGCCTCCTCTACCACAGCAAACCCAGAACCAGACAAAGGTAAACAGATAACATCTGCAAACACCAAACACACACGTCTGTATGTATAAATCATGGGCTAATAGGACTGCGTGGATTCATTTCATTCATTCAGGTAGTAGAAATCAAACTACAAACAATTCCTCTTTGCTTGTTTCCCGTTGCAGCCTGTGCCTACCATCGGTCGCTCGTCGCTCTCTCTTATCCAGCTGACCAACTCCAGTCCAGGTCAGCGGCCGCAGAACCACATGCAGATGAATTCTGTTCCGCAAAATAACATGACTGGCAACAGAGGGCCTCGGCCGCTGGACCAGGTCACCTGCTACAAGGTGAGTCACCTGAACATTTGTCTGCTGACGTGCCTTTGTGTGTTCAAAATCAGTTTTAGATCCTTTTGTAAATACAGTAGTTTGATATTTTGCTTAATACACTTATTATTTTTCTTGCTGGGTTAGATAAGATAAACACCACTCATGTCTGTCAAGTAAAATGAAAATCCAACTGGCAGTCATTTACATGGTTTCTTAGAAGGTAATGTGTGGAAAAATGCTATAATGTAAGAATGCTTTCTAAAATAGACATGATAATAGATTATATTTATCAATTCAAAAATGCAAGGAGTGAACAGAAGGAAAAAAACTAAATCAAATCAATATTTGGTGTGACGACCCTTTGCCTTTAAAACAGCCCCAGTTCTTCTAGGTACACTTGCACTTAGTTTTTGAAGGAACTCGGCAGGTAGGTTGATGGAGACCTACCCTCAGTCCTTCTGTGGATTTATCAGCCCCAGTTGCTTCTCTCTCTTCAGGTAATCCCAGACAGACTCAATGATGTTGAGATCGGGGCTCTGTGGGGGCCACACCATCACTTTCACATCACATCAGGACTCTTTGTTCTTCTTAACGCTGAAGATGGCTTTCACTTTATGTTTGGGGTTGTTGTCATGCTGCAGAATACATTTGGTGCCAATCAGATGCTTCCCTGATGCTATTGCATGATGAATAAGTATCTGCCTGTACTTCTCAGCATTGAGGAGACCATTGATTCTGACCAAATCCTCCAGACCTTTGGCGAATAACTTGCCTTCTGCTGCAGCCAAATATTTTATATATGAATTTTCAGTCCAGTCCAGAGCGACTGCTGCCATTTTTTCTGCACTCCAGTTCCTGTGTTTTCATGCATAGTTGAGTTGCTTGACCTTGTTTCTATGTCAGAGGTCTGGATTTTTTGCCGCAAGTCTTCCGTAAAGGCCATTTCTGACCAGACTTCTCCGGACAGTAGATGGGTGTACCCACTGTTTTCTGCAGCTCTGAGCTGCTGGACGTCTTCAGATTGTGAAAGGAAATAAGCATGTTCTGTCTTTCATCTGCTGCAGTAAGTTTCTTTGGCCAACCACTGTGTCTATGGTCCTCAATGTTGCCCGATTATTGTGCTTTTTCAAAAGAGCTTGGACAGCACATGGACTGCACTGGAAACTCGTGTCTGCCTTGAAATGTCTGCCTGTGAGAGACCTTACTGATGCATCTTGTTGCTGTGCTCAGTCTTACGAACGTGTATGACTTTTGGCAGTAACTTGTCTTCAGCAACCTCACCTTGTTAGCTGAGTTTGGCTGTTCCTCACCCAGTTTTATTCTTTCTACACAGCTGTTTCTATCTCTGTCAACCTACACATTGAATTTATGATCAGGGTGGTCACACCAAATACCGATTTGATTTTATTCACTTTTGTTCAATTGATGAAAATATTTTTGAAAGCGTTCCTCCTTTACAGCATTTTCCCACAGCTGCCTAAAACCATTGCACATAACTGTAGATAGGATTGTAATGCTTGGGTTTGATATTTTAACACATCTCTTGTAAATAGCAACATATACCTAACCATCACAAGCCTACTCTTCATTTATACTCGTGTTTGTATATTGTTTATATATTTTACTGGTAAATTGCACTGACCATTTTACAGGGATTACATTGGAGTTACTGGAATCTCCTCAGTCTGACAACTGCTCTTGGCTCAGCATCAGTCTGGCACGTAACCCAACATCGAACAGCAAATTATAGTTTTAGAAAGAAAATTAGGGTCCTCTATACGATCTGGTGAAAAATGGCTTTACATGAATACCACATTTTGAGACACCAGGATCAGTAAAGTAATTTTTGATCATCCACACGGCATGGTACATCATCTCATAAGCGTGAGGATTTGCATCTTTTCTTTACTTTTCTGCTCCAACACACTTAAACATCCTTCTTAATAGTCTACCCGTGTAAAGCAAAAGAACACTGTGTATTTCAAGCTTTCTTTTAATAAGGTGCCATTAATATCTTAATTCTTTTTTCTTCCTTGTATCTATAGTGTGGTGAGAAGGGTCACTATGCCAACAAATGCACTAAAGGCCATCTTGCCTTCCTAAGTGGACAGTAACCTTCAGCCTTGATGTCACCTAAGCAGAGGAGACGAGAGGAAGAGCAGCAGAAGAGGAGGCCCGTTTGCTCAACCGGCTGAAGTTGAATTTAAAGACTTTAACTGCCACTGTTGTCACGTCAGGATGATTTTACACAGGCACTAGGACAGAAACACAACAGCTATTTCTATCTTTTTTTGCCTCGTTCTAACCGTGGATACATGGGGGGGAAAAAAAAAAAAAGATCAGAAAGAAGCTTCGCCCTGTGTGGCGATGGTGGACTGACTCGAGGGTTAGTGTACAGTTTTCTACAATGTTTGTACTGCGTAGCACACTGAATATTTAAAGACATCAAACCAAGTTTCCTTGGGTCGTGTGACTGCATCAGTGACACCAGACCAGTGGTTCTATTTTGCGAATTCTAGTAAATCTGTCCGACATTGTAAGTGAAATAAAACAGAAATGTGATCAATGCCAGTTAGTACTCAAACTACTGTAATTAATCTGATCCCGAATCCACCCTGCACTTTTGTGGTGTACTTGCAATTTAAATCTGTTTAAATTTTAGACTAACATCCTGGCTGGCAGTAGTCCTTTAAGTTTTTAGATCTGAATACACAGATTAAAATCTAAAGAGACTGGGGGGACAGCAGTTTGACTCAAAAAAAGGTATCTCACAATATCCTTTGTGTTGTCAGTGGATACAGTCTAGACTTGTTTAAATCTGTACAAACATTCTTACAGATTTACCTGTTAAATTCACATCACCAGAGCAGTGAGGTGGCATTGGATTGCATTTCCACATGCTTAACAGGTGAGAACTGTAACTATTATCGCAGCTGAACTTTAAGCTGAATTCACACACCCCCAAACATGATATCCGATAATAAATCTTCATATTTTTTATTGGTTACAACAGTCACATATTCAACACAGAGCTGAGAGTAGAAAGAGCGGGGGAACAAAGATTCAAGTTCAACCCCTGATGGCTGCTGAAGGTCTTAGTGGTACTTCCTCCAGCGATCGTGTTCTGAAAGAGAATAAAAAAGATGTTTTAAATGTTCTTCACATTGGTGAGGTTTCGTAGCTAGTTTGAGACGAGTTCAAAAAATATCATTTAAAAGGAAAACTTTGTAGAAAAAAGCTCAAACATAAAAAGACAGGAAGTGAATGTTTAGGCATGTCTTACTGATGTGGTCATATTCCCACAGGTAGCTGATGGCCACGTAGCCAACCAGCAGCATAGCTACACCACCAATGCCTCCCTTCTTCACGTTAATGTACTTGTTGTAGTATCTGTCGTGGCCTGGAAGAGAGGGGGGCAAAACAAAGCAGCATAAATACACGCCTGAAACCAATAAGGCAACATGCTACACAGTGGCATCCTCAGATTATAAAGATTTGAGTGAGCTAATCAAACCTGTGAGCAATCTTCATGACCTGAACACAAATGCTGATTTTACAACATGTGACTAGAAATGTTAAGAGCATGTGTAATCTTTGCTTGTGAATAAGGAGTCACTTATTTAAGTCCCTTAATGAGCTGGGAATCGATACATTTTCCCGCCCTTTGTCAATTAGCCATATTCACCAGTACCATATCATACTAGGAGCCTGATATATTAAAGTTAATCAGTGCTTTAAACAGCAGTTCTCCACTTTCCAAGTACAGCAGTGGAGAGCTGTGCAAACAGTCACCTGCGGTGTTACTCCCCAGCCATCAATATATGCATTTCACAAAATTTTTCCTAAACATTGATGTGACAAGGCGCATCACCTTTAGTTGGGAACTACTACAAATCGCAGCATGGAGCATTATGTTGTACATGCTGATGAATGAAAGCACAACTTACTGCATTGAAAAAAAGATGCGATTGTAATTTAAATCTGTGTATGAGGAGAGTATGTTTTCTTGTGCTGCTGACAGATTTACACCCTTTTCCTACCCAAGGTTTAGGATTTAAGGTGCTACAAATATAATTAGGAAAAGGAGAGATTTCTAATACCTGCTTCAGCTGCTGTTTTATTAAAAATGGTTAATGGTATTTCAAAAACATTTTACATTTCATGTATTTCACACAAAAGCTATTGAAAGAACTGCAAACTACTCTACTTTCTGTGATAGAACTGAAGCAAAGGAAACAATATCGGAACCGAGTTCCTCCTCTAGTTTCCACAGCTCTTCATAAAGTTTTAGTGAGAACAGGTTTCCTCACCCCGGCGGACGGCTGAGATGATGCCATTTGGAGTGAAGTCTCGACCTCCAAGCCAGCTTCCCAGCTCACCCAGTTTCACGTCCATCAGTCGCTTCTCAACCACGGGAACTGGTCACAAGTGGAGACAGCAAGGACACTTTGATTACACACTGAGCAAAACAAGCCGTAGATCCAATATGTCTAACGTTACCAGAGCAGGAAAAAAAGATTGGTCATTTGATTGATTTGACTATTGACTGATAACGTTACACAGTTATAATTGTTTAAATAGTTTCAAACAAAAATGACAAATTTCCTGGTTCCAACATTTGTGGCTTTTTTTTGTCTTGAAGTTATTGAATAACGTTACATTTGTCTTTTAGACAGACAGTATGACGACGTCATCTTAGACTCAAAACTATTATTCCAGAAAATAAGTGGCAGACTAATTGATCCCGAAAATAATTATAAGTTGCAGCTCTAAATTGGGTAAAGTAGTCAACAACTCCATCCTCTGAGAAGTCGTAAATCAAGCAAAGTATTCAGTCTACAAACAAGTTTAGTGGTTCAGCTTTGGCCCCCAAAGTTTAACGGTATACTGAGGGGCCACATTTGAACCAGGTGTGTAACGTCAGGTAACGTTGTATTACAGCTGTTATGAATTAAGTGGCCCACCGTTCAAAACACATTGTATAGCAATGCACCACCTTTCGCGTTGTATTTTGATGTGGTAAATCTATCTTAAGTTTAAATTAACCAAAGAGAACATCAGAGTTTGGGCTCAGCTCTGTTTGCATGCTAACCTACCGTGCAAACTAGCCAAAAGAAACGGTTACATCACGTAAATATGCGAGAACAACATCATTATGAAAGTTTCGTCCAGACTGCAAGTAAAGACTACAAGTTTCTGATGTCTGAACCCAGCAGTTAGTGTCCAAAAGCCGCTCAAGGATTCATTTAAACTGACAATGACACGCAAAGTCCTTGACGTGACTCAAAGGAGTCCGTGCGGCCTTCAGTCGCACAAAAACCTCCAGGTGACCCAGTACGGGTCTGTCCGATAGAAGAACACACTCCGTCTGAGAGAACATGCAAAAACACAAACAACTAATCACTCAATACAGAAAATGTCTTCTTTTTTCATCAGAGGACACGCATAATTACCTGGTCTGTCCGCCATCTTGACTGGTGCAGAGAGCTCGCCGCAGGGAATCATGGGTATAAAAGGAAGAAGTGCATTATGGGAGAAGAAGTAGTTTTTTAAACTGTCCGCTAGAGGGAAGCAGAAGACATGAAACCAAACGATTGATAATTAAGGCTTCTTTGCATCACAACACTACACAGAGCAATGGCACACTGAGGGATCTTGAAGACGTGTTTTTGAACATGCACGTAGTTGTCACTTTATTAGGCACACCCAGCGCCGTTAAATAATGAAATGTCAATCTTATTTAACGATTCTGGGCACGACTGGCCTATCTTAAGCTAATTCAGCAGCACTACAATAGATCCTTCATGAACAGAATTTTTTTCACCATTTATCAACTAAATGATTCATTAAGTTGGGACCACTGCCTGTCCCATTGACGCCCACCACTGTATGCTTTTTTAAACACAGCTTTGTTTTTAGTATTTTTGTGTGCACAGAGGGCAATACATATGGTATTTAAAACAGATGGATTCAGTTTTCACAATACATTTCTGCTATATCAGAGTTTGTTTTGCATTTATGCATTAATATGTTCAATGTGATTTAAAAAGACTCCAACCTAGCTACCTATAGGTATATAAATAAATGTTTGTTTTCTAATTTTTTTGTACAATTCCATGTTAAACATCTCTCCATTAAAAAGCATATAAGTGAAATTCTGACCTGAAGGGCGTCTCTGATCAATAAGCAGCACAACAGCCAGTAGTACTATACATAATGTACCTGAAGATATAGTTAAGATCTTATTCAGGCTGGTGTTTGTGTTTTTGTGTGTGAGTAGAAGAGGTGGTGCTGTGGTGGCTAGTGGTAGTCCCTTCTCAACACACCCACCAATCAATACACATCTCTCTATCTCATCTCTCTCTCTCTTTCTCTCTCTCTCTCTCTCTCTCTCTCTCTCTCTCTCTCTCTCTCTCTCTCTCTCACACACACACACACACACACACACACACACACACACACACACACACACATACACTGAGTGAATTAGGGTGTGTAGTGGTGGTTTTGGCCTTCATCCAACACTGAGCAGCAACCTCTTTCCTTTATTAGACTGATTTTCCTGCTGCACTCTAATGACATTCATTAGATGAAGGACTCATATAGATGTCCACCACCCACCCTGCTTTTTTCCCTCTTTATCTTTTTCTGTGCTTTCCTCTCTCACTCACCACACAGACACACATATCTACACCCATTTACTCAACATATCTATAATACTTTTTTTTTTTAGATAGAGTACATGCAGTTCAATTCATGTTACATGTTTGTGCCAATTCATAACAGAGGTTATTTCATTGCACTTTTCATATAGTGCAGGTCTAGACCGTATTATTTGTAATGTTATTTACAGAGACCCTCCATGAGCAAGCACTTGGTGACAGTGGCTTACAAGAAAAATTCCCCTTTAACAGATAGATACCTCAAGCAGAACCTACACTCAGAGTCGGCGGCCATCTGCCTTGACCGGTTGGGTTAAGAGTAGTGTTGTCGTACTCGTCTTAAGACCACATATTGATGGTCTTGGTCTTGTCTTGGTCTCGACCGCATTTGTACTCGGTCTTGTCTCGGCCTCAGACATTGAGGACTCGGGATTTTATTTCAAGACCAGTCAAGACCATAACTTTGGGAATATCAATAAATTGCTTTTGCATTGTCTGATTTCTTAACATCTTAACTTTGATTGGAAATAAAACTTGTTGCTTCAAATGTAACCAATAACCCTAATTAATGACTGTCACCCCTCCCTGCGATGCTTACTTTGAGTGTACTCTCAGTGTTTGTATGTGGGTGTTTTAATGGGAATGTGGATCTTTCAAATCAATTTGAGAAGTACCTATGATCTCGTTCCACATTTAATTGCGTGCCATGCAAGGCAGGGAACTGGTCTTGGTCTTGACTCCGTCTTGCCCTCCCTCAGTCTTGGTCTCGACTGCTCTCAGCCCCTAAAAGTCTTGGTCTTGTCTCGGTCTCGATAAACTCTGGTCTTGGTCTTGACTTGGTCTCGGTATGGGCGGTCTTGACTACAACACTAGTTAAGAGAGAGAGAGCAGGAGGAAAGAGAACACACAGTGG